GAGAGAGAACAGAGAGCCCCATCACCAGGTCTGGGAGTAAACCCAGCAGCCCCAGTGCTGTGGAATGATGACTGCAGCTCTGCTCAGTTCAGGCATACAGGGCTGGCTACTGGTGCCACAAACCAACCAGTAAATACCCAGTTCCTTGACAGGATGAAAGTCCTCAAGTGGCAAACGTTAAAAGTCACTTAATGTGTGTACTGATCGCTATTTTGGCTCCCTGATTTGCAATTTTTTCTTGTTCAAACTGATGGATGAATGGAATGTTTTTAATTATTTCCAGGGTATGCCCTTCAGAATTGCATTGCCTTCCCCACACACAGTACTTCTGTCCAGAGACTCCCTTGCTTCATTAAGATGGAAAGTCATTTCAGTTACAAAAAGCCAAAGTAATCATGTTTTAATCAACTGAAGTGCACACAAGCTGCTACCATCCCGAGTACCCCATGACATGCAGCAGCACAGGGTTGCATTGCCTGCTGCCTTTGGGATGGAGGAACTGCAGACTTGCCTGTGGCTTCACTTGGACTCAACTCTGCCTCTCTGGAGCTGACTTGGACTGAACAGCACAAGATCAATATGAAGTAATTGTATGCTAGCACAACACCAGCACAGGGGAGGGGAAAACACAGCTATCTTTTGGGGAAGTATTCTACTGCACCACAACAGCTGCTTAAGAATAAGCCACAAGTCAGAGTTCAAAATTCCCCAAATAGATTGCATTTAAACTATTACAAATTGCATGCCTGGCAATGGCAGGAGTGAAACAAAAGGCTAAGAACTCAGGAAGAATGTGTTATCTGATTTACAAAGGAATTCACACACTAAAGAGAGCTCAAGAGACTACAAGCCCCCAACTCTCAGTAGCTTGGCAAACTTCTTACGCCTTCCCAAAACTGGGGAGAAAAACGAGCTCTTTACTCAAATGGTCATACAACTACTTAGAGCTCCAAAGGGCTACTTTGGAGACTGGGAAAAAGCCATGGAAACCTTCTGTCCTTTCCCCTCTGTGCAAAAGAAATGACCAAACCTGTTACCTTTCCAGTGCCTTTAAATCAGGTTCTTTGCTGCAAGGCACAACGGGAGACTGAGGCTGCACACCAGAACCATGGAGGCATGAGAACTCAGGAAGGTTCAGCATGTACACAGCAAACATATACCTCTCCTCTAAATCTGACTTTCAGTGTGGTATATTTTTACCAATTCTGTCTGCTGTTGCTGTTAATGAACATCCCTCTGAACCACAAAAAATATGTTAGATTTTTCCCTATAAAAGATTTTTATCCTTTTTTTATCTTCAACATTGCTTGTGAGGACGGCGGTAAAGCAATAGAACACAAGTTTCAAATTTAGAATTATCAACTAAAATGGCATTAATCAAAGCTTGGCAAGTCTAAACCAGTGATGTGTGATAGCATTTAGCTCTGACAAGGGCTGAGCCGCGTGCGGCCGAACCGGAGCAGCCGCTGCAGGAGTTCCCAGCGGTGGGAAGTGACACCACAGACTTGTGGCTCTGCTGGGGAAACAGAGATCAGCTCGTACAGATTACTGCCATGGTTTGCTCCTTTCCTGATGCACAATTTACCATGTGCTACTACTTTGCTAAGCCTTCTTTACGTGGCCTGATTAATTTCAGCTGTATGAAAATGAGATCCTGTGTGTGTAGCTTAGATGATACTTCTGACATTTTCCCTCACTAAATAAACTAAATTTAAGCTAGGAAGAGGACATATACATAGCATACAATTAAAATAGATACATACATAAAGCTTGATCCAGTAATTAGGCCTCTATTTCAGAGGCACATATATTTCACAAATATTCCAAATGTGGATGCTACATCTTTATTTAATACAGACACAAACCCAAACAATTTACAGTAGTAGCAATCTTGAAAATTACAAAATCCCTTTAATGACAAATGTAACTCAAATATGTAAACAACTGGACACAGAGTAAGTTGGGATCAGATATGGGCAGGCCTGTTATACCATACAGCTAAGAGATCATTTCAAATTACAAAATAGATAAAAAGTAAAAAAAAAAAACTTGGAAGATTATCTGACCAGTATTTGGGGGAAAATCCTTTTCAAAGTAACATTTTTTCATTCTGATCAGAATTCTGAGTCCTGCCTATGACTCACTCAGCAATTAGGTACATACACTTTGCTGTCTCTGGGTAAAGACTCGAGACTGGGGCCCATATGGACAGGACACCTGAGAGACATTTGTGAAGGGACAGTGACAACCCTTACAGAGTTCAGCTCACGGATCCGTTCGATGAACCAAACACCCTGCACAGTAAGGGATGAGTTGCAGACTCGAACTTGAAGTTATCATTTTTATTAAAAAATATTTGGGCTGTAGTCAAGTCTCAGAGCAGAGCAAAACACCAGAGGCAAACCAAAATTAGGTCTTGAAGCAGAGACAAAGGAGAAGGCAGAGAGGTAAACCAATGTAATACTCCACAAGGAAGATGAAGGCCATTTGATTGTACTGCTAGTAGCATTTGAAAGAGAAATACAGAAAAGCTCACAGTGGGTTTCCCTGTGTGGTAGGACTGGACAAACCATAAAGCTCATATTTAATGAAAGGCAACAAAAGCAGACGTAAAACCCAGGCCAGGCTCAGGTCCGGAAAATCATGATCGCACACGGGCAAAACAGCACCGTGACAACCAACACAAATGACACACAGTTGATGGAATGACTGTCTCAGCTCCTGTCTCTGTCTGAGCTGAGTGAGATGTCGGTCACAGTCGTGTCTGGCACCAAGCATTTATTGATCACTGCCTTCAGCTGGGTGCAGCAGACACCAGTGGTTTATTTATGGCCAAAAACCAATAAAACCAAAGACCGGGTGAGTAACATGGATAGTAAAGATACAGCATAACATTAAATTTAGGTTTTGATTAGTAGAGTAGATCTGTGCAATAGAACTTCTGAGTTCACTGCACTTAAGAGGTTTTAAATCTGAAGCTTTAAATCTGAAGTGACAGACTGTATCGTGAGAAAGACAGCTAAAAGGAGCCAAATTTAGACACCACAAACTCAAAAACATTGAAGATTGGCAAGTGCTGCACCAAACATTTACATTAAACATGAATTATTGTTCTGATTACATCTTAACACCAGTAAATGATGAACCATCCTTTTAAACCATTGCTCATCTTCCAGGAGCATTTGCTGGGGTGTTTTAAGGCAGAGCATATCAGTACCAAGCAGCCATCTCTCAAATAAGTCACCTTTATGAAACACCACTAGGAAAACATAATTGGTCATAGTTAACCACAACATAGAAAGGCCTCATACTTGCTCTTTGTGCTTTTGTGGGACTTTTTTAATGATTATTAGCCATGGCAGATACATACCAAATTTAACAGCTACTGACATAGACTGTGTGGGTTGGCTACAAGCTTTACAGCTCCTGTTGAAGCCAGGACAAATGACCACAACCAAAAAAGCTAACCCTAACACTTCATTATAATTTGGACTCAGCAAATGCTCCAATATTTGCAGCTGATTCCATTGAAAGTACTTGCCCATTTTTCTGATAAGTGACCAGAAGTCTTTCCTCACCTATTTATGTTTTCAACTGTAAAAAGCTTGAAGTGCTTTTGGAAAGGGAACAGAATTGTAGACATCTTCCCCATCCTGAGTTCTGCAACTGCTCCAACTAGCTGTGTTAACGATGCCTTAGAGTGAAGGTCAAGCAGCTCAAAGGGCTTAGATACACCCTTAGGGTGACAACAAAGAGAAGGTTACACCTGCTGACAAATACAACGTTTCCACGGTATAAACAGATCACCCACACTCTAGAATCAGTTCTCTCAAAGTGCTGGGCTCAGGTTTCCCTGGGGTGTTTTTGGACAGCAGTTTCCTGTCCTTCATTGCTCTGTAACATATTACCCAAGAGTGGAACAAATGTGGTTCATTAACTGATCACATCAGGAACTGGACAACAGCTCAGTAACATCTCCTAAAAGCCTGGCCAAACAATCAGTTTCAGTCCTCCAGAACACACAAAAGGATGCTATAGACTAGCACAGTTTCTCTTTTGAGTATACCTTCTGACTTTAATTTGCAGCTTTTGTGAGAAGCAGCTAGGAGGAGGCTTAAGACTCCTCCTACAAGACGTCTAGAGCTCAATTCTGATAAGTAAAAATAATATGCTCTTTACTTTTAATAGGCACAGAATCATAATATCCCACACCACTTTAACCTGAGTTTATTGCTAACAAATTGCTGCTGAGGAGTTAAAGCTCAAACATGAGCCAAGAGTCACAAACACTGATAGACAGATGCTCTATCTTCGAGCATAGCAATAACCACAGCAATTTTACTTAGACTCTGCTACGAGTAACAGTTTGTAGATCTGATTTAAAAACAGAACAAAACAAAGCATGATTGATCATCTATGTTGGACTTGCTGCTTTAGCTGCAATAAGGTACAATGTGAACTATCATGCAAGGTGTTTCTGAGAGCTCTCCTAGCACCATGAAAACCAACCTGCTGGGACTGAGCTATCCCAGGGATGCTCTCACTTAATGCTCTGCAATACCTTTACCTGTATCGTCCTTGTCAAAACAGCTGTGGGTTCATGTGGAGCTCTAACCTGGGATCTCTAACCCTGAAACAACTTCCAGCTGTTTCTCATTCTGCTACTGGTTAACTGCAGGTTAAGCAATCTTCCCCTTAACTGGGGTTAAGCAATCACTTTTCTCCACCTCTGTTCCCTGCCTGTAAGGAGGACAGAGACACTCACTCCATTTTACAATTTTATGACATCTGTACATAAAGGCCTTCTAAGGAGTATTGCTACTATGAAACATGCATTATGATTTACCATGGGTCTATTTATTATTGCATTAACAGAACTTGTTCCTGTTTTCTTCTTACTTACCAAGAAGACACAGTGTTATCAGTCTAGCAAAAAAAGAAACTAATGGTTTTTCTTTCTAAATAATTACTTTACTCTCTTTCTTTGTTTAGGGATAAAATATAACATGGGATTCCAGCAACCACAAAAAGTAAGTTTTCACAAGTACATAGGAAGATCATTGCCATATTCCAGGCATGCAGTGCGGATAGACTTGGCTCAGATAAGGCCACTACACGGGAGGTGAAGCACTGAAAAGGAAAGATGCATCAAAAGCTTTGCAATAAAATGGAAATCTTCCTTTTAAAATACGAATTTGATAAGCTGTGCGGCTTCGGCTCTATGAGTTTTTTTTCCTAGCCTGGATATCGCTAAGACACACTGTAAACTTCACGTGTACTAATATTCTGCACGGAATCCCATTGCAAAGGAGCGAATTGCTCGAGACGAATCCTGGTGACACTCCTCCACCTAGCGGGGCCGGGCGACGAGCAGACAGGACTGAAGCACAGCCCTCTGTGCAGGGGAACAGGCAGAAACACGGCTGGGGTTTACAAACACACACTTCTGGCCAGCAGAACAGCCTGTGAACCTAGGAGCGGAGTACAACAATCGCTCCCAACAGCTGAATAGAGCCTTGCATGACAAATCCTGCGTTGTTTCCCAGTCTGCACATCACAGACCACCCTCACTACCAGGACAAACCCGAGTTCTGCAACACTGGCCTAAAACCTGTCTGAAACTGATCTGTTGCATCTGAGTTCTGTATAAGTTAGCAATTTAAGCAAGTCATCTACAAAATAATACAATTTGATTTTTTTTCTTTTGTCACCAATGCTTTTTGCAGCAAATACTGAATCTCTTTTCTGAGGCTTGTTTAATCTCTGACCCTTAAACAACAATGTGACAAGATCTCACCTCTGAGGCAGCACAAGCTTAAATTACCTATAGCATTGCTTTTTTTCAGCCAACAGAAACACTTGTAAAGTTGACTAAGATTTAATCTGCCACCTTGAAACAGTATGACCCTTCTAATCCCCATATTGTAGACCTTTAAATTTGTACAGTATCTTATTTTTAAGCCAGCTTTAAATACTGAATAAAGACTGAAAACAAAATATTTACAATTTATAAAACCTCTAAATAATCACTAAGTATTTTGGGTCAGCAATAAACATTCTGCAACTACATCTTCTCCCCTCTCAAAATCCTCCCTAGTGGTGCATCCACCACTGCTCCCACGTGAGTTCTCAAAGCAGGCATGACATGTAGTTAAACAGTGTCCAGCACCTAATTTTAGTCTTGGAGGCTAAAGACAGGACTTAATTCAGCTGCTCTGAGAAGCAGGGAGCAGTGGAGCATGCCTGGGCCACACACCAAGCAAAGCATGGACCAGGGAGATCTCCCTAATGAAACAAGTAGGTCCCAAAATCCCTTGTCCAAAGACCTGCTTCACTTAGTTTTCACTTCCCTAACGCAGCCGTTCGCACTCCCTCCTGCTCCTCCTCAGGTCTCCGTTGCTTGGTCCCGGGCTCACCTCCCTCCAGCCTCCCCGTGGGGTACCCCGAGTGCTGTTCTCACCAAACCCACTTCTCATGTGCCAAGGCTCCGTGTTCTCACTGCAGTCCTTTCTGCTTCCCTCTTCCCACTGGGGCTCCCTCTGCCTCCTCCCTCCACCGTACAAACCCTCCGGAGCTCCAGGCTTCGCTGCACAGCTGCCCTCACTCCAAGATTAACTGCTAAACTGGGGTGGATGGGAAACACCTGACACAAACCAATTAAACCTTCCATTGTGTGACAACAGGGGCAGCTGTGGTAATTAAGCAAGTCCTCAAAATACTCAGCTTTTGTAGCAATTTCAAGGACAACCTAAGACAAAACTATATACCAAAGTGTGTGTACACCACCCAAAGTACAGTTAAATCCAAACCTGAACTGGAATTCACCAGCTCAGGTTCACCTCAGCCTTGCGTTTCATGCAAGCACAGAAGCAGGTGACAAGAGCCTGTACCAGGCTCAGCGCCCAGGGCTCCCGGCCCTGTGTTTTGTTGTGCAAATCTGCTGAACTCAGAGCATGTGAAAGAGCCGCGTGAAGTTGTGCAAGCTGTTAACAGTGACAGTCTCTCATTTACTAACATCACTAATCTATTTTTCCTCATCAGGACTGTGTTTCCAGCAATAACCAGGATGGAAGATTAAGAAAAAGTACTGCAGACGCAGTGGCAACAGTACAGCAGAGAGAGTGGTTACAGCCCTCTGAAAGTGTGCCCACTAAGCTTCAAAGCACAGACAGAAGGCAAAGCAGCATCGTGTTTTCTACGAAAGATCAAGTGAAAGGTGACGAAATTAATTCCATCATGCTCCATAAACGCAGGAGGAGGTTTATAATTAAAAAGAGCCCAATTCTGATTTCCATGAACAGCTCCATTCTCAACCTGCCCACGCTTAAATCTGAGGATAGAAACAACAGCAAGTGGAAAAGTCTCTATCAGATCCAAGGAGAAAGGAAACGGATTATGAGAGAAACTTGTTCAAAATACAAGAGTAATAATAGGAGAATAATCACTCCGTATCACGTTTCTAGAATATTCGTAGAAGACAAATACAGAGTTTTGTACTGTGAGGTCCCAAAAGCTGGCTGCTCCAACTGGAAACGGGTGCTCATGGTGCTTAACGGCCTGGCTTCCTCCACAAAAGACATACAGCACAACACGGTGCACTACGGAAACTACTTGAAAAGACTGGATGGGTTTGACCACAAAGGGATCTATCACAGGCTCAACACTTACACAAAGATGCTGTTCATCCGTGAGCCTTTTGAAAAGCTGGTGTCTGCGTTTCGGGACAAGTTTGAACACCCAAACAACTACTACCACCCAGTTTTTGGGAAGGCCATCATTTCCAGGTACCGTGTCAATGCAACCAAAGAAGCACTAAGGACAGGCTCTGGAGTCCAATTTAAAGAGTTCATTCAGTATCTCTTGGATGTGCACAGGCCAGTGGGTATGGACATCCACTGGGATCACGTCAACAGGCTTTGCAGCCCATGTTTAATAGACTACGACTTCGTTGGGAAATTTGAAAGTATGGAAGAAGATGCAAACTTTTTCTTGCACTTAATTGGTGCTCCACAAAATTTAACTTTCCCCAAGTTTAACAACGAAGAAAGAACTACCACTAAAATTACACAGCAGTATTTTGCACAGCTTTCTCCTTCTCAACGACAACAAAGCTACGACTTTTACTACATGGATTACTTGATGTTTAATTACTCAAAACCTTTTGAGGATTTGTATTGATTTGAGAGTTAGGACATTTCCACAGTCACATCAGTCCAATTGCATAACAAACCCAGGTGGTTTATGTTTATATACACTTGTCTGTTAGTAAGCAATTGGTTGGAGAACAGGAAAAAATGCAAAACAGAACCTAAATGGCTAGTGATGTTTACACCTTCACCTTAATTGCCTCCTTTTTCAAATCATATTTTTTCTATAATTTCCCCATACAAAATGTATGTACATATATGTATAATATGTCAGGGTCCCCAAATAAAGCACAGACTTTTGCATGCTGGTGTGACCTGTGTTTGCAGTGGGAGGACAGTTTGAAACCAGCAAAACACAGCTGGAACTTGCAGAGTGGAGACAGTATTTCAGGCTTTTTACTGTTTAGAAAATGAGTTTGAAAGTGATGGAGTAGCCAGAAAAAAAGAGACTGAATAACATTTACAGTTTATCAAAATCTGCAAGGCATGAGGCCATACACTAAACAGGGACCATGTGTGTGAGGTTGGATGTTGGTTGTTATAGCCTGATACTTGTATATCAGCTAGGGAGAAAAAGTCTAGTCACCCTTGCACTGTTCAAAAACACTGGTGAAAACAACTAATGCTTAATGACCATGTGAGAGCAGTATTAAACCAGACACTGTAATGCAGAGTGAGAATGTGTTCTCCCCCTTCAACATTTCCCTCGTGGCACATTCATCTGCAAAAAGATAAAATGCAGGCGAACATTTGCATCTTTATAAATGTTATTAAAATTCTTTTAATCCTTTGCATTAACATAAATCTCTGGTTTAATCTTCATAGTCACCAGGAATATCAAAATCTTTCCTTCATAATAACAAGTGAGAATAAATGCTGCTTCCTGCCCAACAGGGTAGTTCTTTTCATTGCTGCAAACAATCTGCACTTGCTTATTTTAGCAACAATTAGATCTGACTTAACACACAAAAAATATTCCAGGTGTTTTAGTTCAGGTGTTTGTTTTCTGTAGCTGAGAAGACTTTCATCTCTGGCCGAACGTCTTGTGAGACTCAAATACTTGACCTTCCTTCCAATGGTTTTGCCCATCTTCACACAATTCTGTATACAGAACACTTTTTTCCATGACCCTTAACCACTTGACACAATGGTATTTAAACTGGCACACTGGAACAAAGGTCAAACTCTACCACAATGCCAAACTTGGACTCCCCAGTACTTTCTAGTTTGCATTTCACAACCAAGAATTCCACCACAACTGGTGCTGTACAAATGTAAACACCTAAGGAACAACCCTTATTTCAAGCTGTTTCACATTTCCAGGTTCAGATCATCATACAGACAGTTTCAAGCACCAGAAGCATTGGCATCATTTTCCCCAGAAACATCCAACGTATTTTTGGGGTTTCAAAAATGTTAACAGGGAAAATATTGTATTGACTCTTCTTCTTCCTACTCCCTCACCCCAGTTGCTTTTCAGCTAGATGCTGAATTCAGCTTGATGCACATGAATTCATAGAGCCACAAGGTCACATTTACATCTGAAAGACTTTGTTGGCACAGTTACACATCAGTAAGTGTTCACTGTGTAAGTGGGAAAAAATACCAGCAAAATTGCACTTCTGATCATATTAAACTGGTGCTTTTCCTACCAGTACCCACTCCAAACTGTTTTAATTAATTTACAATGAAAGATAACAACAGGGGAATAACAAAATGGGGGAATCACAAATGAAGACTTTGACAGGGTTTTATTTTGTAAGAAGCATCCTTTAAACAAAAACTGCTCAATGATTTGCATGTTTATGACAAGCTGTATATGGCAAAACAGCATCTGTTTCACAGCGTCTCAAGGAAGACAGAAGTATCCTTCCAATACTCAAAGGTACTTGACAGTAGTTGCATTAATTTGGCTTTGTTACTTTCATCTCCTATTCTCTACAGAGTAGTAGAAACAAGGCAAGAAATTATTTTAAAAAAATCTGCAAAGATATATTTTAAACCCAGAAGAAATGCAATATCTTGAACAAAAACATCTAAGGCAGCAGACAAGTAAACTAATATTTTCCTATTAATCACAATGTTTAAGTAAAAAGTGACAATTTTGACTAGATGGTGTTAAGTTTTCTGACTGCTCATTTCCCTTTGGATTATCTTGTCTTTTTTCCCCCTCACTTACAAAATCTTGGTATTTTCATTTTTGGTAATGCAGTTGAATTTTTTCAGAGCTGTTCGTTCTGAATTCATTCCTTTTTTTCATATAGAAATGTATCATTTCATATGGAAAGTGTAAATTAAAGACTAGACAATAAATCCTCTTTTCAGACAAACAGCCTAGATCAGAGGTAAATATCTTGCATTGCTGAAATTGGACAAAATAATTCTGTCAATCTAATTGGGGTTTATTATTATTACGATGATGATGATTGATGTATTTTAGTGAGAAGTGAACTTTTTTACTACTGGACTGATTACTGAACTGTACTCCTAGTTCTCACCTGAAAGTTTTTCAGCCTTTTTACTCCTGATCTTTTTCTGCCCTACCTGTCTACTCACAGCTCCTACTGTCTTAGGAATTCATCCACCTGGAGTCAGTAACTGCACACAGCTCAGGGACTGGCAGCAGTCAAACTGCCCCAGCACCTTCCCCCACCACAGGTCAGCCAACCCTGCCTGCCAGCTCCACACATCCTTCCTGGGTTGCTTCCAGTACTGGAGACACTTCAGGTGATTCTCTCTGGGGCAGCTCCCCATCACACCTGATATATTGGCAGCTCCTAAACCCATATTTCCCACCTTGGGATTTCAGTGATCAGCATATTAGGAGTAAAACGTTCTCAATACCAATTGAGGGGTCGGGACCCAGCTGGAGCAGTCACAGAGGTTGAGGTGTGAAGGCACTCAAACACCCACAGATCAGAATCTCAGACCTACCATCTAAATAACACCCAGTTTCCCGGCCAGCTTTTGCTGTCCTGGCACTCCAAGCTGCATCCCTGCCATTCCAGAGGTCCCTCACGAGAACTAAACCAGCCAGTCCCCGTGCCCAGAAAGCAGAACAGTGCAATGTGCAGGTTGTTTTCAGGTTTTGCAAAGTCTGAAACTGAAACAGCAATGATCTCTTCATTAAGGGGTAATTTAAGACCTTGACATCGGGATGCTCTGCACATGATCTTCATGAAGATCTAAGCAAAGTCATCCTCTTCGAGACATTTGTCTACCTAAAAACATCATCCTTGCAACATGCCCAAATCGAGTGGGGGTGATTTGCTGGGTTTGGTATTATACAATCCCTCACTACAACAGCCACTTACCGTGGCTGACCTCAAACCAGCAGTGTCAGTTTATGGGGTTTATGCCTCTACAGATAAAAGAAACAAGATATTAAAATGAGTTTTATTAACTCTTTGTATCCATAACTTCTCAGAATTTCCATGATGGGGTTCCAATGCTTCTTTTCCATAACCACTGCAGCACTAACAATTTGAGCACATCAGACTGCACAGTATTGAAAGAGAAGATGGATTGAGGATAGGAGATCACTGGTTTTTTGCCACAATCTGGTTCACTGGTTTACAACTAATCTTCATAGTGAATTTTAATTTTACTCTCACTGATACTAGAAGACCATCTGCATGCAGCAGTTTTCAGAGCACAACATGAGAGACAAGGCTGAGCACAGCCTGTGTGAGCTGATAGCGCTTCAAGGGATGATTCTCAGGTTGGCAGTGTCACTTGTGATTTCAAACCTCAGCATGCACCTGCACACTCTTGGATAAGGACTCGGGAAATGTCCCAAGCTTCATATGTCAAGATGCATGTAACTAATTTTTGTCCCAAGACAACAGCTCCTGGTTAAGAAGGACCTAGCAATTTTCTTGGCTTCCCTCAATGGAACCCAGCAGACATGCCTGTAAACAAACATCTCTAATAGCTTCCAGCATGATGCTGCTGTAAAAACGCTCTGGAGTCAAGTACAAGAGACAGAAAACTTCTCACACTGGCTGTACCAGTGACAACTGATACATTGGTCAGTCACTTTCACCAAAATTTCTCAGGACTCTCCGTTCCAATAGAGGTGTCCAGAATTAGACATGCAGTAAAGATTCACTGTGGGTTTGAGAACAGGCACTCATCCATTCCACACTTGAATTTAATCCTGAAATAGGTGAATATTATGCACAATGCATTTCTCGAGCAGTAAGGGCAAGACAACATGGAACACGCTGACACGGGAGAGGGAGACAGACACGACTCAGCCTTGCTCACTGCCTTCAGACTGGTCAATGCATTATGAAACTATGGACACAGTTAGTTGTGACTCATGCTAGAGAGTAAGAACATTTGCAGTACGACTGGCCTAATAGAAACATTCAACCTTGTAAACACATCTTGTGGTTTGATGAAGAACTCCACATGTTTAGTTTCAGAATAGTATGCACAGAGTCCTGTGCATACTCACATCTGGGCTGACAGCTAAACTCGCGCACAGTCCGGAGCACACGTACATAGTACGGAGCACCTTCCGATGGACGAGTCTGTTAAGTGTTATTTTCCAGGCACTTTGTGCCACAGTGCTTTGTATCCAGTGACACAGATAACTTGTCCAAATTCTGCCATCCATTGCCATTTTTGCCACCAAGTTTTTGGTTTGGTGTTTTAACTGCAGACACACATTTAACAGAACTGCAGCAGAGGTCAAGTTTTCCATTCTGTACCTACCTTGCATGGGACCCTAACTGCTCTGTTTCAGTTCAGCTGCTACAGTAGTGCTGGCCCTGTGTCTCACATTCAGCTTACAGGATTCTCTATCAGTGGTCTTTTCTTGAAGTGTCATCTTTTTTTCCTGGAGCTTAAACCTACACTCTCAAGTTATGGAAAATGAAAGAGGCTTTCACAATCCAACTTTTCCACAGTTATTTTCCCAATCTGAGATTTCTGTCCAGATTTTTTTTCACTTAATATAGGAAATAACCTCTCAACATACCCAAACACAAGTATGTCACCAGCTGCAAAAGGTGCTAAGATTAT